TGGCCTACATTGAGCTGCCTTATCCAGATTTGTCAATAACTGGGATCCCAGCCATAGCTTTTGCCTGCCTGTATGAGAACGGGGTGCGGTCCCCGTATGAGCAAATTTCCTTCAGTATGTTCACGTTGCATGAAGTTCTTCAGAACATTCCTCTCACAACTTCTGCCCCAAGTTTGAAGCAGCCGTCAGGTGGTAGAAAGAGAAAGGGGAAGAGTTGTGTCATTTCTTAAAGATCATGACAGAGGGCCAAACTTCATGTCATGCTAAAGATGTCACTAGAAACCATGTCAATTTTTATATTACTAATATCAAGCGCAAAGGCAGATTTTCATAGAGAATGCAGCAAGCAAGAAGGAGTAGAGGTTTAATCTTTCCCTCCTGTTGTATTCTGCTAACTGAGTTTGTGTTTTGAGAATTTTGCCCCTAGGAGCACCCAGTAGCTGAGGAAGGAGGTGGAAAGAGGGAGAAGAGAAGAGGGAATTAAGAATATGATTGAGAATGTGGCTGGAGGTTGTAAATAAAGCTCTCTTTGAAAATCATTAGAATATCTTTCTTCTGGTTGAAGGAATAATACAAAACCCCTACAAGTAGGAAAGCATAATGCAAAAGCCCATGGGATTCTTTCCAAAAGAATTATCTCAGATCTCCATTCAGTCTCCAGTTCCTATGCTATCACCGCTACTTTGCTTTCAAACAATGGAACACACAAAGTAGAGAAAGTAACCTATTCACTTAGACCAGCCTTCTGTATTGGCTTTTTGCAGGGGGCGGGGCAGGGGGGGCAGGGAGAGGGGAATCCCCAATGTGTCAATGGATGCTGATATTAGCTAAAGGGATTTCATTCAGGACTGTTGTATTAGCTGTATACCCCCTGCCTGGCACTACCACCTTATGCATAAAAAAACCCCTGCACATTAGATGCAAAGACACATAAATGTCACATCTACTTTAGCCCTGTAGTAAGAGAGTGAAACCTGTCCATTTTCTTAAAGGTCTTCCTGAGCAATCAGGACCTGGCTAGTTTGGGCCTGCCACCTGCTGGCCAATGCTTGACCTGCTGGCCAATGCTTGTCTAGCAGAAAATTCTCCCCTGGGACAATAAGAAGGATGGGTTTCCAAGTCAGGCTCTAGAGCTCCTCCTGATTGCTGCTTTATTGCAGGTATATTCTGCAACAAACTCTTAACAATAGTGCATTAGTGGTGGGGGTTTTTTTCTGCTTTAGTTTGTTGTGCAATGAATGCTTCCCCAAAGCTTCCAGGTTATTGCTGCCTGGGAGGGGCTATAGCACAACCAAAGCAGAACAAAAATAAGCCAGAACATTTGTGGTATAAAAAGTTACAGGATTTCAGCAGGAAGTTACAGGATATGCACTGAATGGAATGAAGTAGCGCGACCACCCCAAAGCATTTGCAGGTACAAGAAAACAGGATCGCATGTGACAGCCTGAGAGCATAATGAGCACAAATCATCATTAATGTGCAATAAAAAGGATGTCTGGAGAGGCCCTTTGACCCAATATTAGGGCATTAGTGGTGGATTTCTTCTGCTTTGTTGATTTATTCTGCCTTTGGGGAAGGGGCTGTTACCAATTACCCATTCAAAAACCTGTTTACTATATTAAGCCATCTTCTGAAAACTCCCTTTGTTAGTTTCACCACTTTTTATATGAGAATAATGGTGCCAGCATGCTGCTAGGGCTTCCAGGGGTCCAGGATGTGAAATTCTAATTAACAACACCCCCAACTTGAGGTGAGGCAATAGTGTTACAGTACAGTCAATTCAGGTGTGTAAGGATTGTGTCGCAACTGAAGTGAAAAATAAACACTTGAGGGAAGTGAAGGACAATGGGGAGAATGCAGCCGTCCAGAATGAATGCTATCTGACTTCTTAGGAATAAAAAGAGTAGGTGAATAGTATCAGAACTGAAGAAAAGTGGCATCATGGTGGCATCTGGTAGCCCTGAATCCTTTTACAATAAGTATTGTTAGCTGAGATCATTTAAAAATGTATAGAAAAATAGGTATCTTTATTTATTTTCACACAAGTTTTCAGCAGCTTCGACCAACAAGGCCACCTATCATTGTGGCAATTAACACAAAACAAGGTCTGAACATAACACAGCTAGGCAATTGTTTTCTGACATGTTTTGAATGTTAAGGAAGAAGAAATACAGGTCATTCCACTCAAAATATACTCCCCTCTCTCTTGAAAATAACAAGTCTCCTGAACCTACTCTTGTAACAGAAGGTAGGGTTGCCATATTCCCAAAGATGAAAATCCGGGCAAAGTTGTTGAGCTTATTTTTGGGAAAACATGGACATATGGCAGCCCTACAGAAGGTATACAAAACACAGACCTGGAAACACTGCCCTACCCTTCCCAATTCTTCAGCAGCATAATCGGAAAATATTGCAATTCTTTAAAAATTAGCTGTTCATACAGATGTACTGTACATTTGTTTTCCTTAATTTTAAACTAATTAAACACCAATCTTAATATGAGTATTTAAAAGTATTGAATGGATTTTTGGGTTGTATGACTTGTCAACTCTATACACTCCCTTCATTCAGGGATGAGGAACTTGTGACCTTTCAGATGCTGCTGGCCTCCAATTTTCATCAGCCCCAGGCAGTCCAGCCAATGGTCCTGGATGCTATATAGGAACATCTGGAAGTCCATAGGTTCACCTTCCTGGAGGGTGGGAATGTGTATGGTTGGCAAAGAGAATTCAGGAAGGCGGTTTCCATTTGTGGAGCCCTGCGGGGCCTCTCATGTGAGCAAAACAGATTAGAACTGTCTCCTTGATATTGCTCTGTTTTGTTCCTAGACCATCCTTGCCTTTGCTTGAGAAAATGTACACGTTTCTAGCATTTGACTAGCTCTAAACTTTAAAGTCTGAGTAAAGCAGCACTGATCCCTTTCTTAGACCAATGTATTAGGTGGCTCTTAGTGGTGCCTCTTTCCACTTGCCAACCAATCCATGACACGAACCTGTGGACTGATGATGCCACGAACTCAAAAATATGTTGCTCATCAGGTTTGGCCTTCTCACTTGAAGGGCCTGTGGCAAGGGAGGCAGAAAGTAGAGCTCCAAAGCCAGAAGTCCTGATACAAACTGAACCTGTGTGCAAAAAATCTCTACATTCATGCCTCCTGTGTAGCCATTTCCCACCCTCCCAGAACAACCCAGCATGCTTTCTGCCTTGATTTCATGCGGGCAGGAGTGTTTTATTTTAGAAATAGCAGGAACACGAAAATGTGTTCATTCAGCATAGGAAAGGAGGACTTAGGTAGATGCTAAGGAAGTATAAATAATTAAATAAATAACACAACAACAGTAGTAAATCTCAAAGCACTGAGATCAATAAACCCAGGACGTCATTCTAGATCTGTGACACTGTAAGCATTTCCTTAGTGACAGCAGTTCCAGTCTACATCTCCTGACCGTAGCTGACAATGATGCCCATGGAAGACAATGATATTCCTTGCACTGAAAGGTGGGTGATGGCTCATTACTGTCTGGCAAGCAGCATCTTGAGGCTTCAGGATCAACAGAGGAATCAGAAATGCGCAGAGGCTGCAGCAACGAAAGTTGATGATTGCGGATACAGGTTAATGCACATCTTTGTAATCTCACATACAGAGATTAAGTAAATGAAGTCTGTCATCTAGATCCTAAAGAACTGATGTTGCAAACAATAAAAATGTGGGGGCCAAAGCATTTGAGTATGCTGGCCTGGGTGTTTCACAGAAATCTTCATCAGAGTTTGACTCAGTTTTATTTATTATTATTATTATTATTATTATTATTATTATTATTATTATTAATAATATATACACTCCCTGGAGTTCTCTAAATGTTGCTGGACTACAGCTCTCATCATTCCTGACCATTGGCCATGTTTGCTGGGACTGATGGGAGTTGAAGTACATTACCTCTGAAGAGTCACAAGTTCACCTCTCCTGATATAATGTAATTTGAAAAATGAGGGAAACAAACTGAAATGTCATTATTTTCAAAACTGCTCAAGGGCATGCTGTTTTCAGCTATGAGCTGCCAGAGCTAGAGCTAGGAACCAGTGCATTTTGCTCAGGGTAAAGATCTGTGTAACTTTGGGACTCCATGTTCTAAAATATTAGGAGCAGACATTTTATTCTTCTGTCCCAGAATCCTATATTTCTTTCATGTCTCCTGCCTGCCGTCTTCTTCTCAGTCCATCTTGGGATGTAATCTTTATGGCTACAACTTTAAGACTTCGTTTGTTATTATTTTTTTGTGCCCTCCCCTGCCCCTGTCACTACTTTGTATAACATCCTGCCTGTTTAAGAGGTCTGGAGCAATCAAAAGCTTGCTCACTATTTTGTGATATTTTGATTGGCTCTAGCAAAAATATTGCTGAATTGTGGGTTTTAGCATTCATCTTATGGGCCCACACAACTTCCTTTCCCCTCTTCTACTATTGCTGACTCTCCCTACTTACTCCCCAACTGCATGTGTATGCACGTACACACACACACACACACACACACACACACACACCACCTTTCCAAGCATCCACAAAGGTATTTGGTCTCTACCTACTGCTGAAACCACCCTGCTCTATCCCTTTTACTATTTCTAGACTAGAGTACAAAACAGACTGGCAGCAGCTGCTGCATGATGCATGATGCAACATGAGCCTAGTGATCTGTATCTTCGTTGCATGTCTGACTTTTATTGCTGTCTTTTTGGTAATGTGGCAATATGGAAGCTTTCTATATTGGTCAACCAGCATTCATATTATGTTATTCCCCTTCCCACTATCACAAAGTAAACTACTCTGACCAACTGCTACCCTTCTTATTAGGTATCTGCATTGACAAGGGTAGAAGGAATGTTAGCAACCATCACTTGCTTCTATCTTCCCATGTTGGTGTGTGGATGCAGGCGGAGGGACCATTCACAGGCCATATGCAACAACAACAACAAAGTTACAAAATTTTAGTGAATTCCTGTTACCTATTTCTTTTCACATGAGCCACAGAAACATCCAAAAAAGCCATTGATGATCTGGAGAACAGCAAGGACCATTTCCACTGTGCTGATGATTAAGAGAGCCGAGAAGAAATAGACATTCCAGCTCACAATATTACGTGGCTCGATGCACACTTTGTTCCAAAGGGGAGGATCATACAAATAATTCCGAGTCCTTAAAGGAACAGATTTTGAATGAGAAAGTTGTAAGTGAAGATACATTATAAATGAAGGATAAGGGAAAGCTGTAGAATCAGGAGATGTTATTTTTGTACATTTTAAAATAATAATTTATTACTCATACCCCACCCATCTGACTGGGCTGCCCCAGCCACCCTGGGAGGCTTCCAACAGAATGTTAGATAAAGATTTCTGGATTTACTGGGTTACTGAGTATGCTGTCCTGTGCACCATTTTTCCTTGAATGGTTTTACATTTACAATATAATATTAAATATTGTCTTCCCTGGTTGCATTGTCTCAAGATCAAAGACATGCGGTTGCCCTTCTGACACCAAAGAAGTTAGTAGAAGTTAGTAGCAGTAATAGTAATTCACCTGGACAGAAGACCTCTCTGTTTTAGGATTCCTTGCACTTGCAAGTGTCGCTGCTTTGTTGACATCCCGGTTCTACTGACCTTCGACTACGATAGAATTCCTCAGCAAGTGATCCATGCATGCTGAGACTCCTTCAATTTCCCCCTCCCAGCAACGTTATCCCTACATATTCTTTGGTGGTTGTTGCGATTGCCAGTGCCCCCAGTCCAGTTTCTCTCTGTGTGTTTTGATGCACAGGACAGGTAATATTCCCCTGGGAAATAGCTCAAGCTAGCCTCACAAATTAATTGAGCAATGCAAATACGGTCTCCTGAGCTGCATGAGCCACATCTAATGGGTGTCAGTAACACAGAACTTGTTTGGAAACACTGGCACCGTCTATATAATTGTTCTGTCTTCAGGACCAACAATATACAGAAAGCTGTATACCCTTTCAGACATCCTTTTTATTGTGCATTCACGATTATTTGTACTCATGATGGTACAGTAGTACCTCCGCTTACGCAACCCTCTGGTTATGTAAACTTCGGGATACGTAAGCGGCAAACCCGGAAGTATTTTACCGGGTTTTGCCATGTGCACATGCGCAGAAGCGGTCCTCCAGTTGCGAAAACCTCTGGAACGTGTCCCGTCTGCAACCAGAGGTACCACTGTATTGGGGCAGTTATATGTGATCCCACTTTCAATACTGTTTGTTCCTGCAAAAGCTTCAGGGCAGACATACTGTAGCTTCCTGCTTAATTTCTGCAACTTTTCATACAGTTCCAGGGATGGTGGTAGTTTTGCTTTTTTTACACTATAGCATAAGAGGGGTCCCCTGGACAGCAATGCTGTAGTATCACTCCGGAAGCATTACAGAAGCATTACAGAAGAACTAATAAAGTGGAATGATGTTTGGGCAGTGCAGCATCCATTCAGTCCTATACTGCATCAATTAGATGCTGCAGAATAGACCTGGCAAAACCCCCACCTCTCTGGAGGGGCCTATCATCAAGTCATTGCTTGCGGCTCATTTTTTGGTCATGACTCTGAACTCAATGGAGAACGAGTCTCAGTTTTTCACCACTAAGCAAAAACAGCTCTCAGCACAGGTTAATAGGCATTGCTCTTCCATAAAATGACCCATGACCTCCTACCTGATGTTTGAGGACTGACTGTGTGTTTGAAGGAATGGATAATCCCACTGAGTCATCTGCGTCCCATTGTGGGTGGTGGAGCTATAAAAGCAGAGAGGTCCCTCTGTCAAGCCCACACCAGACAAAACAAAGCAAGCAGCTGATCCCAGCAAGGCCAGTCCTGATAATACAATGGAGAGAAACATCTGTGGGCAAAAGAGGCATAGAAATTAAGGGCACTTCCAGATGACCTGATAACCGAGCATTGATCCTGACTTGTTTGCAAGGAGATGAAATGGCGATGGCTATTTAATGAGCACTTACTCCGTTTTGTGTTCCATTGCAGTTTCCTGTCACTTTCCTTATCATGAAAAGTTTGATGTTTTGAGGAAGTGGGATTATTGCTCAAGACCTCCCAGTCATTGATAATTGTGTAACCTGAATTTGCTGGTACGTGACCGAATCCCACCCGAAGGTATTGACAGTCTGGAAGTGGCCTAATTCCAGTTATGCAAGACCCCTTCAACTGTACTGCTGAACCCCAGTAATTAGGAGCAATGGGAAGGGAGATTGGTTCTAAAGGGCTTTATGGAAACCATAAACTTCTGGTAACTTCTGATTGCTACACTACAGGCACCAGCAACAGGCCGCAAGGCTCCTGGATGGGGGAATGCACCCTCCAAGTTTGGATTAGGGTGGGGCATGACAAGGTCCTTGACCTTGCAATGACTAGAGTCAGGTTGAAAAAGTGTAGTCTGGCAGTTTAGCGTAGCGTGGGGGGTGCAGGGGGGCCGGCCGCACTGGGTGCAACATTCTGGGGTTAGGGGTTAGGGCGCAAATCCACGGGTAGGGGGCGCCAAATCCACAGGTTACGGGGGGCAAATTACGTAGCCTGCCCCGGGTGCTGACAATCCCACGCTACGCCACTTGGTGTTCTGCGTCTATTAGGACAAATGGGACACTGCACCATTAACCTCTTTCATCCTCCCCCCAGTGGCGTAGCGTGGGGGGTGCAGGGGGCCGGCCGCCACCGGGCACAACATCGTGGGGTTAGGGCAAATCACGGGTTAGGGGCGGCCAAATCCCACAGGTTAGGGGGCGCCAAATCCATGGGTTAGGTGGTGCAAATTACTTGCCTTGCCCCGGGCTGCTGACAACCCACGCTACGCCGCTGCTGCCCCCATCAGCCTGGACGTTCATGTTGACAACCAGTCTAGGGCTGGCACTCCTTGTCAACTTCCTTCTCCTTGGTCTTAAGTCATATCAGGACCATACTCTCAAAGCACTGCAATCTTCCTTTAACAGTCTCCCAAACAGTGTTTTTTTTTCTTTAAAAAAATGTTTAGGGGTACTCTCGTTTTCCTACTCATATTGAAATACTGCCCCTCAATGATTCACAAAATATTTAGGGGTATGCGTACCCCTGTGTCCCCCCCAGAAAAAAGCACTGCTCCCAAATAATCCTTGTACAGTGGTACTTTGGGTTACAAACACTTTGGGTTACAAACGCTTCAGGTTACAGACTCCGCTAACCCGGAAATAGTACCTTGGGTTAAGAACTTTACTTCAGGATGAGAACAGAAATTGCACGATGGGGACAGCGGGAGGCCCCATTAGCTAAAGTGGTACCTCAGGTTAAGAACAGTTTCAGGTTAAGAAAGGACCTCCGGAACGAATTAAGTTCTTAACCAGAGGTACCACTGTAGTCTGTTAAGGGTACTGAGAGTCATTGGGAGACCCCCCCATTCCCCTCACTGAGCCACAATTTTCAGAGTTTCCTGGGAAGAGGCATTGATTGTGAAGCCACTCTATGAAAATGCTGAACCATGTACAGTATCGAACTGGAACTTTGTCAAGAATCTTGACTGTTAAGCCCTGTCATTAAAGCTGAGGGCCTTTCATCAGTGGAACAAATGAGCTACCACCCTCATACCTTTTGGCAAGTTCCCCAAGTGCAGGAGACATTCTTTCCCCTGAATCCGATAACTGTGATCTGAACTGCGGCTGGGAAGACCTGGGGAAGACAGTAATGATTCAGAATGAACACCCTTCTCTGCTAAGCAGGAGGGATCAATTTGATTCTGTTTGAATCTTAATGAGAAACTACCTCATTTGCACTTCTTGAACCAATACACAAACTGAAACTTATTGGGGTGGGATTCGGTTAACAAATTTCGCTAGCTCTGGGTAGCCCAGCAGCAGCATGGCCGCAGGTGGAGTCCTGTAGTTGCGATCTTCAGTCTGGGAATCTGTGTGTTTGCTCATTCATACTAAGCCAAGCAAAGAGGTCAGAGGGGCTTGCAGGAACCCTGGAATGTAGCTCACTGCAGAACATAGCAAACATATATATATTAAAAAAAACATGTGCAGCAGATCACTGGAAGAAACGAGCCAACCAGAGAATGCAAATCAAACAAAACCACACTCATGGCAGCTACTCTCTCTCTCTCTCTCTCTCTCTCTCCCTCTCTCTCTCTCTCTCTCTCTCTCACTCACACACACACACACACACACATGCAAAGCAAACATGGAGTAGCATGTCACACAGAAGAAGCATGCACAGCACCCTTTCAATGCACATGGGTTAAACAGCTATAGCTCAGCCATCCTTTTTGAGAATTTTCAGAAATTTGGGGAAGAATCCATTTAACTTGTTCTGCCAACAAAAGGATGTATGGCTGTGGAACATCCCTCCCTCTCCACAATGTGTGCCCTGTGTCCTCCAAATCTGCTCCAGAGGGTTGGTGGGACCCCTAGGACAGATTTAGGGGTCCCATGGGGGAAAGGGGGGGGAGGGATGCTCCATTAAGGTAAAGGTAAAGGGACCCCTAACTATTAGGTCCAGTCGCGGATGACTCTGGGGTTGCGGCACTCATCTCGCTTTACTGGCCGAGGGAGCTTCCGGGTCATGTGACCAGCATGACTAAACCGTTTCTGGCAAACCAGAGCAGCGCACGGAAATGCCGTTTACCTTCCCACTGGAGAGGTACCTATTTATCTACTTGCACTTTGATGTGCTTTTGAACTGCTAGGTTGGCAGGAGCAGGGACCGAGCAATGGGAGCTCACCCCGACACGTGTATATCCTTGCACTGGTGGTAGCACTACATTGGATACAACCATGGTCAATTTATACAAGATATAAGATACTGCATGCCAAACTGCCATTGAATTGGACAAATTGTCTTCAGTGTATCATGAATGGAATTTTCAGGCAAAACTGAGAGCCAGTGTGGTGTAGTGGTCAAGATCAGTAGACTCGTAATCTCCGCTCCTCCACATGCAGCTGCTGGGTGACCTTGGGCTAGTCACACTTCTCTGAAGTCTCTCAGCCCCACTCACCTCCCAGAGTGTTTGTTGTGGGGGAGGAAGGGAAAGGAGAATGTTAGCCGCTTTGAGACTCCTTCGGGTAGTGATAAAGTGGGATATCAAATCCAAACTCTTCTTCAGTATATCCTTGCTCTGCATGTACCCTGCCCACCTCCAATGGCAAAACCTTGTTTGGTTATAAACAACAAAACAGAAGACAGAAGAGAGAAAAAAAACGGCCTTACGGTTTCCTACGTAGATTCTTGACAGAAAAATATCCACTTACCAATAAGCCTCCTCCCCACACTCCTGGCATCAGCATAGCTTTCTTTGTGATGTGACCCATCTGTAGATAACGCCATTCCCAACTGGGAAAGAGCAGGAGAGTGTTGGCAACAACAGAAAGCAGGCCCAGGGTCAAGAGGCATGGCCCCAGGATCCTAGCACATGTCCCCACGCACATTGTCAGCAGAGAGCCCTGCAAAGATGAAGGAAAGAGTCACAGACTGTGTGAGCATTTCTGTTTTCTCTGGCTTTAGAGCATTTTGTTTGAGTGCATGTGATCCACAATCCATATGTGTCCTGTAGTTTCTTGAGAAATACTGCCGATTGATGTGTTTTCCCTCAAACCAGTGAAGGACACCGTTGAAATAAATTTCATTGCCAGTTTGCACATGGAGTGAGGTACGCCATCTTGTCCTTTGCCAGACTGCCCCAGCCCCAATGGTCTGCACTGGCTGTTAAAGGGTCATGTACAGATTAGTCAGAGACACAAGACTCACAGAATACAGATAACTACACACTGAAAACTTGTTAAAAGCAGACCAGGAATGTGTCCATAAGGTATTTTGCCGCCCCCCGCCCCCCACACCGTCAACAGGGCAAAGGGAGGGAGAGTTAAATGGGATGGTTTGCAAATTTCCTAATGTGAAAGCATCATTTCCTCTACTTGCAGTGGTTGGGCTGTAAGTGACATTGTTTAAGCCGTCAAAAATGGCACTGCCCTTGCATAAGAGGGAGGTTTGCAGATGTCCAAAAATATCTTTAAAGCCTCTGTGGTGTGGGGGTGGAGACTCTTCAAAAGAGCTCAATAAGCAGAGTATACTGAGTGGTCATGGCATGGAATGCTAGAGATGGAGCAGGGGAATAGAATGGAGTATCCTGAGCAAGAACATTTCACACCACATTTTCTAGCAGGTCCCACCCATTTATTTTAAGGCTAGATGTGCCTCGGACAGCCAGACTGATGACAACTCTGCAATGTTAGTTTCCTACCCAAAATACCCTGACCCTCTCCTGACTGTCTTTCCCATTAGCTGGGCATGCAGTAACATGTCATTGACACATGAATGGCACATTTTAAATGGATTTATACTGGGCCATCTAGTCATCACTCTACTTTATTGGTTGTTCAGTGATGTTTCCCCGGTGCTTCTGCAGCTCAGTTGGTAAGAGCGTGTTGCCAATAACACCAAGGTCCCAGGTTTGATTCCTGTATGCAGCAGCTGCATATTCCTGAGGTTTGGATTAGATGGTTGCTCAGGGTCCCTTCCAACTCTACAGTTCTATGATTCTATGATTATTGCACCCAAACTTTAACTTTGCTCATTCCATCGTCCATGCTCCTGCCATCCCCGCTTCCCTTCCCTGCAGCAATAAGTCAAACTGCAATGCCAGGCCACCAAACTTCCATTTGCACACTTTAAAAAACTTTGTTTGGGTTATGACTGGTGTGTTAAACCATCCTTGTCTGCAGGGAGGGGGGCAGGGGGCGGACCACAAGAATGCGAGCATATGGCATCTATAAGAAGTATGTGGGAGAGGCACAAGAGTGCAAGCTTCTCTCCCCACACCTTTTCATGTTATTTGTGCTACATTGCCATGCAACCATATCACCATTTGATTTTGCCACTTCTAAAGTTGTGGGTTAAACCACAGAGCCTAGGACTTGCCGATCAGAAGGTTGGCGGTTCGAATCCCTGTGACGGGGTGAGCTCCCATTGCTCGGTCCCTGCTCCTGCCAACCTAGCAGTTCGAAAGCACGTCAAAGTGCAAGTCGATAAATAGGTACCGCTCCGGCGGGAAGGTAAACGGTGTTTCCGTGCGCTGATCTGGTTGGCCAGAAGCGGCTTAGTCATGTTGGCCACATGACCTGGAAGCTGTACGCCGGCTCCCTCGGCCAATAAAGCGAGATGAGCGCCGCAACCCCAGAGTTGGTCACGACTGGACCTAATGGTCAGGGACCCCTTTACCTTTTAAAGTTTTTATGCTCAGGCTGCGATTCCTGTGCTAAACCGTAGCCCCTTCCAATACCCTGACAGGAACACTGCTATACAGCATTGACAAAAAGTTTGGGAGAGTGGGTGTGTCACAAAGAAACGCATTTAATTTGGAACATTGCCAGGGTACCCTAGTGCTATAGTGCAACAAAAGCAAAATAACAGTAACAATCAGAACATCTGAGGTACCAAAAAAAAAAAAAAGGATTTCAGCAGGAAGCTGTGGCTACGCAGCAATGTTAATGAAGCAGCATGGCCATCCTTAAACTTTTACAGGCACAAATAGCATTGGATGCAGGAGTGCATTTAACCACCCTGGTACCTGCAAGTCAAGGGCACAAATCATCATGAATGCACAATAAAAAGGACACACACACACACACACACACACACACACACACGTTCCTTGTTATTCTTCTCTCTCCCAGGTGGATGGTTTTGATTGCCTTCTCCTATTTTCCCAATACACAGCTTCTCCTTAGGTCACAAAATTGGTAGCTGACATATATTTGGGAAAAGATGCTCCCCTACACAAATCCCATATAACTGCTGTCTCTTTAGGCAAGAACTCCAAAAACCTCTGGAAGTTCAGCAAAGCATGATATCCTGCACAAAACACCCCATACCACACCCATGTAATTCAGCATGGCCCTTCCCCTCTGGAGACTTATGGCTATGTTGTTGTTTAGTCGTGTCCGACTCTTCGTGACCCCATGGACCAGAGCACGCCAGGCACCTCTGTCCTCCACTACCTCCCGCAGTTTGGTCAAACCTCGAAAACACTATCCAACCATCTTGTCCTCTGTCGCCCCCTTCTCCTTGTGCCCTCCATCTTTCCCAGCATCAGTGTCTTCTCCAGGGAGTCTTCTCTTCTCATGAGGTGGCCAAAGTACTGGAGCCTCAGCTTCACGATCTGGACTTATGGCTATATGCTTTTTTAAAAACACATATTCCTTACTCTCAAAGAAATTCCAGAAGGATGTATACAACTTAGCAACTTCTAACAGTTACAGCCGGAGATTATACAGGACTCTCACATACCCCCACACACCAGCACCTGGTGAAGAAGACCTCTTTATTTCAGCTGGCTTTTCAAGTAAAGACCCCTCGCCCCAACATACACACCAAGTTTATAGTTAATTTTATCTAGTTTTATTTATTTCATAAAATTTATAAACCGCTTGATTGCAAGAAACCTCAATGCGGTTAACAAAAAGATTAGAGGAAAAGATAATTTTGTCTCTGTTCTGTTGCCTTCTTGCACACCAGTTAGAGACTATGGGTTGCCATATGTCCTCTTTATCCAGGACAGGTCATTTCATGAGAGTCGTCATAGCAATCCATAGTTAAAAGTAGAAGTCGGCAAATGTGTCCTCTTTTTTGCTCTCTAAAATACAGCAATCGTACAAGTAGTATCTAAATGAAATAATAATAAACTAACAATACTGTGCTTCCATCTGGATAGCCACATACTATTGTAAATGGGTCGCTGAGATATCACAAAAGTGTAGTAGACATCAGAGTTTGTTTGTTTTTTAATAACTGGATTTCCCCTAGAAATGGTAAATCTTGATTCAGTGATGATGATGACAACATTGTCTTGGCACTGCAGAAACATGAATGCATGAGGAGTACTGATCTATTATGCAGCCAGGAAGAAGCAACACCTGTTTCAGTTTATAGTCTAGAAATGTCCTGAATCCATCTCAGCTGGGAAATGGAAAGTGAATTCCAGTTTCAGGTTCCTCGACTCTTTTGCCACCACAGCAAACCCACCATCAGCTGGTCCTTACAGAATTAATTCTTCCCAGGCCTTTCACTTACCTTTGAGAAATAGAAAGCACTGGTGCAGATCCAAGGAACTGGTGGTATCAAAGTTGCGCTCAGCTCCAAAGGTTGTTGCCGTTGTTGCAATAATCCACACAAGAGAAGTTTCTCTGGAAAAGGCAGCAACAGCTGGCAACTATTTATAATCTTCTGGCCACTGAAACCTGGGCAGGCCCCAACTTATTTTCTCCCTAGATGGTCAGACCTGGATCTAACTAGTTTTTCTTTAATCACACCAGTCACATGACCCATCTTCCCATGATGGGCAAGTCCAACAGCTCCGTACCGTTCTAAAGGAAAAAATTGCCCATAGAGGGAAATGACAAATAAGTGATTAGAAGAAAACTGCTTCTGTGAGGAAGTAGGCTTAAGGGCGGCAGTTGTACATGAAGCAAGCTTGCAACATGCTCAAACAAAACAATGCTAGAGGGACAGTGGTGCTGCTCTGTTGCAACAAAAACAATAAAAGGGTCTCTCCAGGTGGTTGTTTATTGTGCATGCAGTCCACATGGCATCAGCAGCATGAAAATGCCCGCTTATTTTGCCCACCACCACCAAGAGACGCAGATTTGCACTGGGAGGTGGGTCCAATCATGTTAAAAACAACAGCAGTTGCTACATCCTTGACCACCAGGGATGGGCTATCAGTGGGTCACATGACATAGGAGGTGCCCAATAGGAGCTGATTACCTGCCTGGTATGTGAAATTGCCACTAATGCCCCAGCCAAAGCTGCCTTTCTTCACACTGCAATTAACAAGAATGCACATATGTTATAGAAAGGAAGCCTGTACAAGCACTTACAGTGGTACCTCGGGTTATAGACGCTTCAGGTTAGAGACTCCGCTAACCCAGAAATAGTACCTCGGGTTAAGAACTTTGCTTCAGGATGAGAACAGAAATTGTGCTCCGGCGGCGTGGCAGCAGGAGGCTCCATTAGCTAAAGTGGTACCTCAGGTTAAGAACAGTTTCAGGTTAAGAACATACCTCCAGAACGAATTACCGGTAAGTTCTTAACCCGAGGTACTGCTGTATATAAGATCCGTATAAAAAAATCTGTACCTGTTGCCTTGTGGGACATCTTCAGGAGAAGAAAAGGCTAAGGAGTAAACCCTATACAAATCCAGAGTGGAGTCCCTAAAATGGTTGGATGGCGCACTGCACACCTCCTTCTGGCAACTCCTGCAACCAAGCTGGTGCCAGATGTATTGCTCTATTTTCCTTTGGACCACATCAGTGGGGCCGAGGGGGGGGGTCTTGTCGTCTGGGTAGCCAGGACCTCCTTACACACTGCCCAGACTTGTGCCCTGGGGAGGTCACTTCAGTGCTGCTAACACCACAAAAACAGGCAGCAGGCACTGTGATTTGCCACCCCGGGAGGTGCACTCCATTGTCTCT